AAATCTTCGATGGAATCATAGTTCCTTTGGAAGTTTGCTTCTCTCAAACAATGAAAAAAAACACTTTTCATTCGACAAACGCGACGTCTCCCTTCAATTTTTTTGTTAGAACAATTCTTACTATGCTCTAAATTTAAATGAATCATTCATTATATTAGCTTATAAAATCCTTCAAAATAAGGTTAGACTAAAAACACAATCAAACCATATATTTGGATGAATAAGGTCTTTACACTATTTTNTTTTTTATGCATTCAGGTTCAAGGACTTTAAATAATTTTTCAACTAGCAACGTAATTGACTAGAATGTAGAAAGGAAACTTGAAGGCAAAATAGCAAAAAAAACATAAGTTTGAAAGATGAAATACGTACAATACTTAACGTTAAATAAAAGCAATAAAGATCACCGAAGTAATGGATTACAGTAAAAAGTAAAATTGCTTAGAAATAAAAACAAGTAAGTAGAAGAAAGACTGACTCTATGTAGAATTTGTTATGTTTGATCATGGATCTTTTTTCCCTTAGTCTTGTATTTGTTATTGATAAGGATGACCTTCAATCGTCAAAATCATCCTTTGTGGCCATGACTGTAATAATAGTCTTTTCTCGAGAAGTACAGACGTGTGTTAAACCAGTTCTAACTAATGACTTATGATATCACATCTTCCCTATTCTCGGGAATCTTAGAGTCGCACTTTCTTAACCGTCTATCAAACATGAACTCTCATATACTTCATGACTATTGGATCTCTTCCACATGTCACTCTCAAATTTTGTTAGTTATGAGTGTAAATAATTGCTGATAAATGNCAAATTTTGTTAGTTATGAGTGTAAATAATTGCTGATAAATGAAATAGCAATACTATGTGTACCAAAAATATGCACCAAAACATGCACTAAATCATTTGCAGTCATTAGATCAATGAGTCTCATCAGTGATTCAAAGACTGCAGTTGATTCGGTGCACATAGAATTATCCTAAATGAAATTATGTATTCAACCAATAGGAGTATGCATTGACAAATCACCATTAAAGGTTTAGCATAATGCATATCTATATAAAAGAACAAAATATTTATAGAGAATTGAAGAGAAATATGAAAAAAGACATAATAGAATCTTAAAAGATGGCAACATAAAAAACTAAGTCTTACATTTGGCAAGAATTGACCACTTGACCTCTTAGCTGGTATAGTCTTAAGAGATTCAAGAGTTGTAAATTAGACTAGACAAAATTGGTTTGATCATTTATTGTCATTAAACTTTGAAAGAAAAGATTGTTGTTGTAGGTATGTGACAAATGTATTTTATCACATTTACAATTAAACTATAAAATATGACTCACAAATTACAAAAACCATGTTTGAGGGAATTTCTCATAGTATTCCAGTTCCAAACAAATTAATTTATATACCGATATAATAAATATAAAATCAAAATAAATGTGCACGTGTGCAATATCTAATTTTGTAAAATATAGCTAAATAAGAAAATTTTTAATCTTCAAATTTACCCTTATTAATTGTATAAACACTTACCTAATAATATACTTTTATGCGCATCATATATGTTCCATCTCCCAATTTAAGGTGGCATTTACTCAATAAGTCCCTTTCTTTTATTTTCTTCTCTGTTTTTTTAATATCATTTTAGACCCTATGTATGTATTCTCAAAATAACTGTTTAATTGTAGTAATGCTAATGTACAACAACTCTCATTTACCTCCCTCACCCCCTGCCTCTTGATTATTATAAACAAATGCACATTAATTAGGATAATGTAGGGAGATAAGTTTATGGAATATATTAAAACAGTAATGCTACATAGACTTAAAAATTAGATTTGATAATCTCAATCATTGAATAAATAGTGGGTCCCAATAAATGTTGGAATTCACAGTAAAATCAATTATTGAGATTATAAAGTCTAATTTTTATTTAAAAATGACTTTCGTAAGCTTTTGAGGTTTCGTTGGCAAAGAACAAAGAATTTGTGGATGTTGACATTACCAATTGGATTTATTCTGAAATTTGTTTACTCGCACCATTGAGTTGGAAGCCTGAATTTATCACTATTTTTTGAAACTAATTGGATTCTTTATCCTCTTCCGTGCCGTGTGGACTTTAAAAAAAAGTGGACCTGTCATCTTCTGTCCATTTCCAATGGCCTACAAAACTAAGAACATACCATTGTCTCTTATGCTCTGTTTCAATCATTTTTTTTACCAATTAGTCATTTGCTATGATTGTTCGTCTTTACTTTGAAACTAATAAGATTAGATTCCGATATTTAAATATGAATTATAGCAATTTGGAAGTGTACTAGCTTAGTGCTTGTAAAATGTTGATCTCCCTCCGTTCCTCTTTCTCCACTTACTAGCTTATTCTTCATTTTTGATTGTTACAAGTTGGTGTTAAACATAGTAGAACTATCCGTGGGATCAAAGTGTAAGGAGGAATCAAGAACCGGAGTGCAAAGCATAAAGTGATTGACTTAGTTGATTCACTGACAATCTCGCTCGCGTATCAACCGCTCTCTCTTTCCCTTTGAATTGTGGTTCATCCCTCATGGAGATCGCTCCTTCGCTCGTATACTTGAGCCCGCTCTATTCGGCTTTAAAGCAATGACGTCGATGGCAAAATCAAAACTGTATGTGTATCATGGTCAACTAAAGATTTAGACTATTTTGGTTTTTAATACTGAATTTAGTGGGCGTATATGCATTAATTTGGGGATCAAGAATATTATTATATCCACAAGGTCAATTGGGTTAAGAGTATTCATGCAAGAAGCCTTACCATGTCTTAGACTTTTCTTTTATAACATCAGTTAATGAACTTGAGATGTCTATCATTCCCTTTGGAAAACAAAAACATATGAATCAAAAGTTGCACTTTGACTATTTTGTAGATAATTCTAGAGAGTTAAGGAATTTTACTGTTTATACTTGTACTATTGTGTGTTATTTTTTTGTTGAACATATTTGTAGTATATTGTAAACTTTTTAGAAACCACAGCTCAAAATGAACAATTACATGTATTCAATTGATGAAATAAATCTTCGATGGAATCATAGTTCCTTTGGAAGTTTGCTTCTCTCAAACAATGAAAAAAAACACTTTTCATTCGACAAACGCGTGACGTCTCCCTTCAATTTTTTTGTTAGAACAATTCTTACTATGCTCTAAATTTAAATGAATCATTCATTATATTAGCTTATAAAATCCTTCAAAATAAGGTTAGACTAAAAACACAATCAAACCATATATTTGGATGAATAAGGTCTTTACACTATTTTGGACCCATTGGAAATTTCTGTGACTTGCATCTTAGGCAAATTGCCTAAAGATGTTCATACTCCTTACTACTAGAAAGTTGAAGTTTTTAATTTATTTTTTTATTTTATTCTAATCAACAAACATTTATTTTGGCTATGATATCAGTGTTGTAGTGTTCCTATTTTGACTTAGTTTTGGATGCATTGAGCTTCACCTATTAAGGTAAGTCTACAATTTACGATGTTATTGGTAGATTTAGTCCATTTACTGTGTTAGTTAACTTTATAAATGAAAATCAAAATAATAATATAAAATAATACAAGTAGAACACACATATACATCAACTAATATTATAATATACTGAATTTAAATTTATAGCAAGTAATTTGCAATTTTTTTTTTTGGTCAGAGTGATTTGCAATTGAGAAATATAGATTTACATTGTTATGAAAAAAACAAGAAAACTAAAAATAATAAATAAATAAATAAATAAAGCAAGTAAATCTGTTCAAGCCCAAAAGATAATTATATTATGTTTGTTGGAAAAAAAAAAGAAAATCAATAAATATGAAATGGTGCAAAAATTCATGTGTACAAAATTCAAAAAGGGAAAGTCTTTAGGAACTACTTACTTTGATATAATATACATTTGGGCACAATTATATAGTTTAGCCTGATTATGGAAATGAAATATAATCTTTTAATATGGTATTGAAAAATCATTTTTAACAATGAATTCCAATTTGAATTATTTAAGTTTATTAGTAATAAAAATAATAAAATAGATTGAAATAATAAATTATATTCTATATATATAAAACAATCATTGTTGGGTAAAAGAACGTGAAAAACACCGATTAAAGTTTTACCTCTAACACGAAAACTACCTAAAGGAACTTCACAAGAAAACCTTACCGTAGACAACACGTTACCACTTCTAGAAATTATATGACAGCTTGGGCAAAAAACTTTCTACAGCTAAATATTCCCTGAGAAATCTGTTATGAAAAACAATGTAACAAGGGGTGTAAACCAATACACTACCCCTAAGAAAACCTTACTATGTATCCTCTTCTCTAAGCAATAAACACCCTCAAGGAGCAAGAGCCTTGCTCTTCAGCAGGACAAACCCCTCTATTCTTTGCATTTTCTTTATTTACCTCTACTACTTACCACATTCAACTAGCAATTCATCTGACTATTACAGTGCTTCTCGGTTGTTTACACCATACATGCAATTAAATTTGTAACAAGCAAACAAACCAGACAAGAAAAAACCAAAAAACTCAACTAATGCTAGTCAAAAAATACTTAAAAAAGCAAAAAGAAACAAAAGATACTTTATACTCAGGAGCGGGATAAAAATATCATTATCAAATTTACAACCCTGCAAATAGTTCTTGAGTACTGTTAAATTAATTTCCACAGATTAGAAAGTTTTACAATACATGCCAAAAGGCATTTAATGTTAGTAACTTGTGAATTTTCCTTGCTTATACATTTCCAGCATTACAAAGACAGGTCTGGAAGCACCAGAACCAAATACACTTATACAATAATGATAGCAGGTTGCAAAGAAAAAAAATAAGAATGAACACTTATGAAAGTTGATAAACTTGGTGTTCGAAATGAGAGCAAAATCACCCCCAGATCATATGAAGAGCGGTTCCATCATAAATATTTCCTCTTATGCAGAAAGAATCAGCTACTCTTTAAGACATTAGAACAGTGATTGAACAGAGTTTTGGGAAGATAAAGTTGCCACATTCTTGAACTGTCATAATAAAATTAACCAGTTCCATCAGAACATAACATAACAAAATCTTATATGCAACTACGCTGAAGTTGCCATAACAGTACAGATGCATCAATCAGAAACTCAAAAGCAGATTAAAATTTTCATGACAGATAGAGCTCAAAAATGTTTAAATTATGAAAATTAAAGAGGGATAAACATTTTGCAACTGAAACAACTCTATTCAGAATGTGTAACACTGTTGATGCTAGTAAAACTTCTGAATTTTGTTGCCCCTACTTGGCATACAAAACCAAGTAAATAAAGAAACAAGTAGTCACATAATCTGTTACCTTTTGTTGCTTGTATTTTTCGCGTATAGCATTGAGAGAGCATCCATTAGTGTTATGTTGCAGATCTTGCAGAGCAAGAACAGTGCCTTTCAGCTCTGACGCCTTGTAACTTGTATAATGCTGTAGAGTTGGATTCTGCACGAAGCTTTTATATGTTAGTTTTCTTAGTCAGAAACAAACAAGATAGAAATTTAAAAGGCATGAAGAGGCACAGAGAATGCAGACCCATGGGTAGTCTGATTGATTAAGTGTCCACCTCGCCAAGAACACAGCAGATGCAGCAATGAGGGACGGTAGAAACTTCAGAAAACTGTAGTCGACAAGAGCTAATTCCGCTAAATAATTTGCCAAGAAGTCCAGTTCAACACAAGGAACCTGCATGTTAAAGCAATATATTACACAAAAGAAGCTACCTCTCGTGTGAATTTATCATGCAGAGACAGAATGTGCGAGTAACACCATCAAAAGTACCTTATAACAAGCTTGTGCTGCTTGAATGAATCTCCTGAAAAATAGGACAGAGGAACATTAGAAGCTCCGGTGGATTCAGTCAGATGGCACTGTACTAAGAATGAAGACTCAGACAAGTTTATATGCAATAGTACCTAAGGAATTTCATTGTGGTCGGACCAGACAATTGAAAGCCCAAAAAGTTCAAAACTCGACTTTCCATTTTCAAAACCTGCCATGTAACCTTAGTGATGAGTTTCCACACATTATGAAATCGAAAAGCACTTCCATAAATTGAGAACACAAGCCCATTATTTTAGAATGCAATTGGAACTATTTAAGTGGAATTAAGGATATGATCATAAGATCTGACAATGGAAAAACTGGAGGAAAAAGCAAATGGGAACAAGAGAGGCAACCAAGATATTTTAAGATTGGCAAGACGTTGAGGGGGAAGGTGGGTTCAAAGACCATTAAGGCAGTCAGGATACCCAGGACTCGGGACTGATCCAGAATATACGGCCACTAACCAAATGAAATCAACCATAAATGTATGCAATTTGGCAGGAGTTAGCAAATGAAAGAAGGGCACAGACCAAAAAGATGGTCAGGAGTTATATGAAGCCTAAAACTTGAGAAAATTTGCTCAAATATTTGCAGAATGTTTTTAAGCACAAAGTCAATCTTTGATGTGAAGAGGAGCACACTGAAAATAAAGCTTGAATATAGTTGATATAGGATTTCTTTTTATGAGTAAATCTTGAAATAGGATTTGAACAGGGCCAGCAGTAGTAGAATTGCTCTCCTCCCTCCTTATTTAGTACTGCTGCTCTTTTGTACACTTGCATTGTTTGTTTCACTAATTAGTATTGAACTATCCACACAGAAGAATTTAGCTTCAAGAGTAGCATATACTATACCTCTCCCTTTGTGTAGGTGTTGTCTGTGATGAAGCAAAACTCTTCCGCACTGGGTGCACAAACTTGTTCGTACTTGCTTCAAGCCATAAATGTATAAGAACAATAAGTGTTTAGTACTACATAATAAAAACTAGAATTATCAGATGCATGCAAGAATATATAATATGTTTACCATAAACAAGGTAAATTAATTTCTGTAATAGGGTGCAAGCAAAGAGTGATGAACTGTTGGTTCTTCTCCAGAGACACATTTTTCTTTCTTTCTTTTGGTTTTTTAGTGAGCACAGGAGGATTTAAGCAAGCATAAGCATGCGTGGTTGTGTGAACCCTAGAAGGAGAGAGTTAAACGGAGAGAATTGCTGGCATCCATCAATAAACTGATTCTTCAAATTGAAATAAAATAATTCCCATAGAACAAAAGACTTACGAGGCAATTAACATGCAGGTAACACCAAGCAGTTGCAGCTTTTGTTTTTCAATATACATCTGAGAGAGGAATCGATCAATGAGGTTTACTGTCAGGTAAAGAGTGTCTGGGACCAGCCTATACTCTTCTGAAACCTGAAAAAGGGGAAACAAAGTAATGGCTAGCATTATCATGGGTAATAATACTAGAAAACCCAAGAAGATACAGACCCCAATAAAAGAAGGATCAAGGGCAAACACCCTACTCATAAAATGACAACTGAAACACATTTTAAGTAAATGAGAAACAAAAGGAAAAGTTGGAAACAAAATAACCAGCCATTTAGATTTGCAGAAAAAACAGTAGTGCCTCTGTGACTTTCTATTGATATTGAATGCCAAAGGTTGGAGCTCACTGCTTTTTGGTAATGTAATCGCAATTCTAACACAGACATGCAATTAAACCAGGAAACAAAATTAGATTCGAAGATGCTACTCTGCAAGGACATGAAGCTTTCAAGGAACCACTGTAAGAACTAATGAGATGGTACTCTGATATTTGTTTATCCAGACACTATCAAGCACAAAAGACCACTTTGTTGGCTATTGCAACTTTTACATTCTTCAGGGGAAATTCCCCAAGCTTTTTCACATATTCTTGAAAAAATATGAACGCCTCTCCAAACAAAGACATTCATATGTTGTATAATACGGTGTCATGCATACGTCAGTTTACTAGACTAACCTCCACAAGCCAATCAATCAGAATACTTCGCATGCCCTGGGTGATATCCTGCTGCAACATTTCCATATAATTAACGGAGGGCCTTCGGCTGAGCTGAAATTAATAGGGAATTCAAAATAAGTGAGTACTTCCCTTTGCACAGTTTTTTTTTTTTTTTTTTGTTGATCAGTACCAAGATGAAGTTTAACAGAAACAATAAATTCCTTGCATTTATTTCATAGAAGGAAAAAACAACTAAAACCTCATCTTTCTGAATCCTCCTGGTTATTGAAACAAGGGATAATGCTGAGTGAATAACAAATAGTATATTTACGTGATGAAGGCAAGAGGTTCAATATTTTCTTATTAGATACAGTAGCATGCTGTGCTACTTGTGCAAAAGGGTATGCAAGCGAGCATGGACAACATTATGGAGCATTAAGAAATTGTCAGCAAGAGTTAAGAAATAACAGCAGGGAGGCAGCTATACAGACCTCCAAAACACGTATATTATTGTATATATCTGGGGCATACATGCTGCACATTTGAGGATCCTTGTGGTTTGAATCAATATCTGCAATACCTAGACTATGCAAGGCCTCTGATTTGCAGCAAAGATTGCCTTCTTCTGCATAATAGAACCAAATGGGCATCATATTGGGCAAACACTTAATGAGAGAACCCTTAATTCAACAAAATCATTTTCCCAAATGTAACTAAATATGATATTGAAGAAGCATGATGCATGGCCTCAATTTTTTACTTGTACTGTCAAAAGGGATATATAAACAAGAATGCTTCGACCAACTGGGGAAACAAAACAAAAAATAAAGTAGGCACGAATTGCTAAATGGACATTTGAGATCTGAATGTAATAAAGGAGCTATTATTGGTAATAGTCGCGCTAAAACAATTCAGTATATTATGATTCTTCGGTTGAAGCAATTCTTTGGTAACTTATAACAGTTTTGTCTACCTTCTGAGGTTACTCATGCTGAAAGCTTGCTGATAACTTCAAAAACCTAGTGCTACAATGACTCTGCAAGTAACTCCAAGCATTATAGTTGTGGAATGTGGCCTAACATGGTTTAGTCTTGGACACATAATATTTAGTGGAATCCCAATAAGATCTTTACAATATGTTACAAAAGCCATGTTCCTAACACTACTCATTATGTGGAATTTCCAGATACAACCATCCCCTTCACTCCTATACAAGCAACTGTTCCACAATTTATGACAATAAAATATATGAAGATTTATTGTCCAATTACAAAAAAAAAAAAAAATTATGTAGTTGTTCCATCGTTTTGTGTTTATGGAGTCCAAAATGTGTACTTCAAACATTTCAACAGTTAGCATAGTTCATCAACTATATCATAACAGAACCACCACTCATGAAAAGGAGGATTACAATGTCCCTAAGCCATTATAAGTAACAATTAGGATGTCAAAATACATATTGTGCTAAGCAAAATAAAAATAAGTCATGTATGCATTGTGACCCTGTGGAAAAGCTGATAGAAATAATTTAACCTTTCAGTGACGGGATTTGGAGTGAAGCATGCTTAGTGGAAGTTTGTTTTATAGGCAATTGATCTGCTACAGCAGCGTCTTTTATGCTGATACATTTACCTTGTCGAATCATTGAATCTTCATCGAAATGTAACTGTGGACCACTTTCTTGTGAATCCTTCACCTTTAGATTGGTTATTTCTTGAGTTGTTTTTACTTCTGTATGTGTATCCTCTTGGTTCCGCAAATTCTCCAAAGAAACAGTTGGTGCCACCTTTGCTTTATTCTTCGCTGTGCTTTGCTTAGCCTGCTTGCTAGGCTGATAGCAGAAAAATCAAAAGATTATAAATTCATATACCGAGCACATGGAAATGAGAAGTTTCTTTTTGCATGTTTGAGAAATTACTTTTACAAATACTGAAATTTTGATGAAAATCTCAGAGTTTTTAGGGGTTTAATTGCCATATGAATGTTACACATAAAATCAAAAGTGAATGGTGGCAATCTGACCTGAATTTTGACGGCATTGATGCAGTTTATATACGAATTGTCACAGAAGACATTTGTGACATCCATGAGAACAGCCCTTTTCTTATGCTGAAGACCAACATTGGCACTGACGGCAGCTTTGCTATCATCTGACGCTGCTCTTTTGGAATTTGGTTGAAGTACTCGCTTATGAACCTGTTTTGCAGAAGGGTTTAGCGGGGGTAACCCTCCAGATGAGCCCAAGGCTTTAGCTCGTGACCGTGTGATTCGCATGGGCTCTTGAAATGTAGCATTAGTTCTATTTTCTTTGTTCATAATTGCATGCCTGATAGGATAGTGATGCATAGCCTTAAATTGATATGCCTTACATTGAGCGATGATCACTTGTCATACTTTTGTAGTTGAGAGGATTGAGGCCTACAACATTTTTCATAATTTAGTCTGATTCATAGGAAAACAAGCATCTGCTCTTCTCCAGAAATTTTAGACTCAACCGCAATTACCTGCTCATCAGAATGATGCCAATCCTTTACCATTCACATTACTCCTTCAAACTGTACATATAAGTTTGTCTGCAGACGAGCGTCAAATAAAAGGTGTGAAACATCGGACAAAAATTTTATGTACACACATATATGCCTCCACATGCACCCACATACAGGCACAGAGATAGAAAGTAAATTAGGAAGAAAGAGGAGTCTCAACAAAAACCAGAGTTGGCTCATCCCTGAATATTTCACTTTTAAATTTTACCCTTCTTTTCGCATAAATTCTATAATTAAGTCCAAAGAACTGGAGCATCTAAATATTTTCCATAATAATCCCGGATAATACCCACTACCAAGTGTGATCTCGTCACAATTTCAGAAAAATCAAGCATGTTTGAGGAATGAAAGATTAGTAAACTAACACTACACTTCTTTTTCAACAATTTTAACTAGAATCAGACCTTTTCTTGCCGAAAAATTGGCTTGCACTTTAAGATTCTTCTAAAAACAAAAGAAAAATTCATAGTTGTTAATGGATTTAACAAAAACCTCAATGTAGAACACAAAGATTGACATCACCTCAACAAGGAATATTATAAAGACTTTTCAACCCTAGATCCTTCGAAGCTTTGATTTATCTATGCATCAAGAACGTCCAAAACACAAAGAATCAAACGCCACGCCAAAATATGTAACCCAAAACTCCTCTACTAATTTGCTCTGACCAAGATTTCCTCGACTACAGACACAGAAATGTAGCACAAAACTCGAAACAAGAAAGAATTCTACGTAAATATAGCTCAAATCGAGGTTTAAAAAAAAGGTCCAAAGAAATAATTCAGTTAAAATCTATGTCGTAGATCTGCGTGGCGAATTTGTACAGTAAATTTCAGAAACTGAACCTCAAAATTACAACGCAAATATCATTATCCAGTCCACCGAAACAGAATGTATCAGACTCAATCTCCTATACATGAATTGTATGCGTGCTATACACATCTACATATATGCGCATAGATAGCGAAAGCGAGAGAGAAAGAGAGTAACAGCTGAGCTTACTCTGCATTTTGAGTGCTCCGAGACCATTCAATGCCGGGCCGGAGATTGCAGAGCTAGTGCTACGTTACTCTTCTGGACATTCATACACTGCGGAGGTACAGACAGACTCTGTGTGTGTGAGAGAGAGAGAGAGAGAGAAAATATCCAGAAGCGGAGCGTGAGAGCGGGATAGAGGTACAGTTCAAACTTTCCAAATTCCAAACTAAAAAATTTTCACTATTTCCACTCCTGATTTTGCTATTTCGGGAAGAAAAAGGTTTTGTCACCCACTCAAAATTTGCCACGTCATCTTAGAAGGAAATTAAAAAATAATAAGAAAGAGGATCAGATCCAGTTTTAAAGGTTAAATTGACTAACAACCAACAATCAATTAGTTATAGTTGTAAATGAGCTTTACTAGATTAATTAGTTTTCAACTTAAGCTGTAATTGATCATTTTTTTCTGAGGTTGACCCTAAGTTGTAGGGACTAAGTTTTTTCAAATTTGATTTCGAGCAAATTGCTATTTGAATCTGATTTGCTAATATAATAATTATCTATCATTAGATTGACAATAAACTTTATTATTAATTCGGATTCATTTTGAATTAAATCGACTATAGTACATTAGATTAATAAATTCAGTAATGTCTAAATAAACACTTTCCTTTGATTTTTGGTTAGTGTTTATGAGGACATGTATATATGGTAACAAGGTATAGGGGTGTAATTCGGACAAATTAGGTTGGTTGAGGGTCAAACCTAACCCAACCTTAGATGAATGAACCAAGTGTTTACTATGTCAACTATAATATATAGATTATCAATATACTCATACCGTGAATCATTAATACTATTGTGAATTAAGGCACAATCAACTTATAAAGGTGAATTCTGATAACAACTATGTGTTAAAGGGTATTAGGGCAATTTCATTAATAGTGGAACACTCGGGTAAGTTGCATCCAAACTTTTAAGGGTGCCAAATTAAGGCATAGCCAAAGTTTAGCATTGGAATGATGTTTAATTGGGTGATTACATTCTTGTGTGTGTGTTATGGTACATCATGTGTGGTCCTCTCTATAGTAACTTGTAGTTAGACCTAGACAAATTTGGGTACAATAAGCCCCACGATGGATACCATTTAGCATATTGTTTGCCTTTGATGTTTGGAATTGAATTGGAAGTAGAAGTTCATAACTGGATTAAATCATGTCGGGTTTTTTGTATTTTGTACCCTAAAAAAATTTAACATTCTTATTTTGTACCTCTCAAAAATTAAAATTTTTATATTACACCTATAATATATCAAAAGTATTATAATGCAACAATTCTTTTAGCTTCTTATCTTTTTAGTTAAAAGTCAACTCATTGACATTGACAATGGAATCGGTGATCATTAGGTTAGACACTAACCTCAAAAATAAGATTGTTAAATTGGGGATTTCAAAACCNCTTCTTATCTTTTTAGTTAAAAGTCAACTCATTGACATTGACGATGGAATCGGTGACCATTAGGTTAGACACTAACCTCAAAAATAAGATTGTTAAATTGGGGATTTCAAAACCCATAAATTTGGCAGAAATGTTTAGAGTGTACAAATAGACTTTAATATTGGGCATCATATGTAATATAAGAAAACTAGTTATGTCTCGTGCCTGAAGGCACGAAATAATAAAAAAAAATGATCAACAATAAACTAATTTATATTTACACCCAAAATCAAATTACAAAGATAGAAGAAAGATAAATGAATTTAAGCATCGATTATAGTGGGNTGATCAACAATAAACTAATTTATATTTACACCCTAAATCAAATTACAAAGATAGAAGAAAGATAAATGAATTTAAGCATCGATTATAGTGGGAGGCAAATGGTGGTAGTGGTGGTGGGATACGGTGATGGTTGTGGTGGGTGAGAACTGTCATTACTGATGGTGGCAGTCTTAGATGGCAACGATGATAATGGTGGGTGATAGAGATGATGGTAGGACAATGACGGTGGTGGTAAGGTGGCAACATTGGTGGTGATGGTAAGGGTGATGGAGACAGTGAAAATAAATATAAGAATAAGATGATGATAATGGTAGATGGTGATGGTTAGGGTGGTGGGGGTGGGGGACAGTGAGGATGATGGTGGTAGGGGTAGTGATAGGACATTGACGTTGGTGGTAGGGTGGCGGCAGTAATGGTGATGGTGGGGGTGGTAGTAGTGGGGATGATGGTGTTAGGGCAGTGGGGGGGAGGGGTAGAGTGACGGCAGTGCTGGTAGGGCAGTGGAAGAGGTGGTGGAAGGGTGGCGGCAACGGTAGTGGTGGGGTGGCGACAATAGTGGTGGTGGTTGTTATAACAGAGATGGTGGTTGAGTGGTGGCAACGATAGTGGTGGTGGTGATGGTAATGGTGGGGCGGAGGCAAAAGTCATGGTGGTGGGGTGGCAATGGTGGTGGTTTCAAACACTATTTTTTAAATAAAAAAAATAAGTTATAAGTTTTAAAAATATTTTTAAAAAGTTATTCCAAACACACCTTTAAAGTCCTATTTTTTTTATTAATTTGGGGTGGTAATATTAGTCGTTAGGTTAACTTTAAAATAAAATTTTNTAAGTTATAAGTTTTAAAAATATTTTTAAAAAGTTATTCCAAACACACTTTTAAAGTCCTATTTTTTTTATTAATTTGGGGTGGTAATATTAGTCGTTAGGTTAACTTTAAAATAAAATTTTAAAACAATCTTAACCGTAAAAAATAAAAATTATTTTATTTATCTTTTGACATTTGAATTATATTACACTTTATTATATAGTTTATAGTTGGGTTATGAAACTTCACAATTGGGGTTGAGAGTGACTCACTACCCTTACCATAAAGGGCCGCTCCTTAAGGTGGGTACTAATTGCTTATGTTGTGCCTCACCTCACTAGTAGATTGCTCTCATCCTTTATTTGGGTGGTACAATTAAAACTTAAGCTTTGATAGAATCAATTTCAATATTTATCTTTATTTCTTCATTTTTGTTTTTTCTAACTTAGTTTATTATATTGTCATTTTTTGTTACAGGACATCCAGGCTTGTATCGATTACTTCATCGAGCTCAAATATTAAACACCGCAGTTCGAACGGGTTTAGAACATATCTCCCGAGAAACAAGAGTGACTAACTCTTAAGGGTGATTCAATGGTTAAACATGTCATCTGGATTCGCTGGTTGTAATAAATGGTAATTTAAACTGACACGTATTAATGTAAAACAAAAAAAAAACCTGAAAGAGCTTTTTTGCTTCCGCACTTTTATATTAAGAAGAATGAGTTTAAATCATATTTACAACAATAGTTTGAAGAATAAGTTAAAAATCAGTGATACTATCTGAGGAAGAAAAATCATTTTAAATGATACTATCTTAGAAGTTATTATCTGGATGCTTCGAGTATAAGCTTTGTTGAATATATCTTGATTCACCTTATAAGCGTGGGTTGCAAGTATGCACGATAACAAGAAAAATGAGTTGGACAGTTATCTGTGCGATGGCCTAGGAATGAGACAGTATCTGTGATATATCAGCTCGGGACACATTTTATTGATTATCAACAACATGAATATGGGACCAAGTAAAAATCAATTATGTGCCACTTAATACTAAGGAATAACTTTTTTGGAGTCTATTATCAAAATAATGTCATTTTTAAATAAAAATACCGATATATCGCACTTTTCAATTTATTTACCGATCTACTGTAGTTTTGGACAGAAGAATTGTTGATTCCGCTTTCACCAAAAAAGCAAAATCAACAAGAATGTTTTTAATATTTATAAAAATATTTTTTTTCCCTTTTTATTGTATTACTTGTTGAAAGTGGAATTGTTGATTCTACTTTCTAAAATTTTAATAAAATGGTAAATAAGCTGAAAGTACAATAAATGAGTATTTTTATTTGAAAATGATAATATTTTGGTAATAAATTCAACTTCTTTATTGGGTTCATCAAGACATGGCTTGGGATTAGCCACATGAAAGGTTTGGTAGAAAGTGGTAGGCTAAATTTAAAGGTCTTTGATGAGTTGATCATAACACTCTTCCATATTTCCTTAATTTTACAATTTTTGATTGAGTGTGGTTGTGATGGATAAAAATCTCTAACACTCTTTCATTTGAAAGTGTGGATACTATATAAAAAAAAATAATGGTAGGTGTAAGATTTTTTGACCCATTCAAAAAATGCTAAATTTTTTTAAAAAATAATAGATAAATTTTATCTATTTAGATAGATCATAGGGAGAATTACAGTTAGACCTCTTAAAATTTGTCACTTAATCATTCAAACTCCTTGACATTTAAAATATTATACATAAACCCTTTGAGATTTGTACACACGTAACACTTAGACTCTTGCCGTAATATATATGTTAGTAAAATACACTCAAACCCCTTGAAATTTGTAAGCATATTATATTTAGACCTTTCAAGTTTAAAATGTTATACTCAAACAAAAAATACTCTAATTAAAGACAGAATGTAAAATATTTTAAATTTAACAATCAAAATTCGTGTTCTATTTTATCATTTGTTGAATAAAATTAAAAATAAAAATCTAGTTGTTCTTAAAAAATCGTAATTAGTATATATATATAATATCTATTGGAATAAAACTAAAAAACATTCATAATAAAACATGAATTTTACAACTAAAATTTATGTTTTATTATATCATTTATTAAAATAAAATCAAAAATAAAAATCTAATTTTTTCTTAAAAAATATTATTAATATACAATTATACTATCTATTGGAATAAAACTAAAAAATAAACAAAGGGTCAAACTGTAATTAATACAATATCTTATAACTTTAATTAGAATAATTTGGTAGTTTATTAATTATGATCTTTTAAGAAAAAATTAAATTTTTATTTTTGATTTTATTTCAATAAATGTTATAATAGAACATGAATTTTGGTTGTAAAATTTAAAGTATTTGATATTCTATTTTTGATTTGAGTATTTTTTTGTTTAAATATAATATTTTTAACTTGAGAAGTTTAAGTATTACACGCGTACAAACTTCAAAAGGTCTAGATGTAATTTACTAACGGATATCCTAACAAACATTGACGATAGAGGTGTGAGTGTTATGCGCGTACAAACTTTCAGGAGGTCTGAATGTAATTCAATCTAAATGATATTATACGTATATGTGTGTATATAATTGGACTCTTTTTAATTTGATCAAAAAGTATAAAGGAAACATGCTAAAAGACGAAGTGATATATAAATGAGAATGTTAAGACAAATGCATCATAAACCAATAAATATTTGAATTAAAAATGATTACATTCATAAAACTATAGAAATAGAATCAATACAAAATAAATAAATAGAGGATAAACTGAGGTGATTTGAACATGTTTATACACGACCTTGCATCATTAGAGAAGAATGATTTCATACATATTTAGAGTAATGCAAGACTTAAAAGCTAAGTATAAGACCTTTTTTTTTGAATGGTTGAATTAAATTTAAAATAACTTTGAACTAGATGGTAAAAAAAATGATTTGCTCACTAATCTAATGGAAAGTATGACCTTAATAAACAACAATAAAAAAGGATAATTCATATGATTCACATTAAATTTTTGATAACTTGAGATTAGAGAATTTAATATTTTAAATTTTATCCCTACATATTTTTTTCGTTTATTTATATCACGGCACCTCTTTATATCATAAATTGAGTTATTTGTTTTTTGATTAATTTGTGGTTTAATATAATTTTTATTTTAAATATTGTTTATATACAATAGTGTATATATATTAATATTTTTTTTAGGTAATGAATTTAAAAAAAAATTCAATTTTTTTTTTTAAATAATGAATATAAATTATTTTTAAATTATGGTTAGTTTTGTCAAGGGTGCGGAAGTTCAGTCTTCATAGATGCAGTTGCACCAAGTATGACTCCAACAAAATGACTAAAATTCTGATTGGAATTGAAACGAAGAGGATGCCCCTAGAAGGGGTAGGCCTTATTCCCAACCGTTTTAACTACTTTTGAAAGACTCAAAAGTCTTGACCTAAATTTCTTACCTCCTCCAGCTGATTCTTTGAAAACTCTCTCTCTCTCTCTCACGCACACATACACACACACATGGAAGAATTGGGTTTGGTACAGAGATTACCATAGAGGACCAGTGAGAGTAAAAGAGATGGAAAATAAAGGGCGACAGCCCATTTATTCAAAAAGCTCAACCACCACTATGAATCGGCAAAGTTGTTGGATGGATTCATCCAATACCGTTCATCTCATTAAACCTCTCTTCTCATTCACTTCTTTAAACCCAGCCTTAAATCTTCCCAAATCATCCAATGCCATAAACAACTTCCCATTTTTCTCTCCAAAATCGTTCCACCACAATGTGGAATTCCTCGGGAAACATATTCGCAAGAACAAACCAATATGGGGTTCACGAGGATGAGGAAGCTCTCTGGGTGGCTGCTCTGCAGAGATCTCCTACATATGTTCGAGCTCGGACGTCTATTTTTCGGAACCTGTCGGGAGAGTTTTCACTTGTAGATGTTGGTAAACTTGAAGTTCAAAAGCAGAAGGCTGTGTTGGATAAGTTGATTAGTGTCATTAATGAAAATCCAGAGCTGTTTTTCAACAGAGTCAGACAAAGATTCGACGCGTAAGTTTGATCATTGAATTGTTTTCTTCATTTTGTTTAGTGGGTTTTCATTATTGTCGTTAGTCTATTGCATTTTTGATTGATAGGTGTTTGCAATATGTCCACTAAGAGACTCTTTGCTTGGTTGGCAAGGAATACTTCGAAACAAAAGAAAGTAAAGTTTAAAACCCATAACAACGAATATTCGATCATTTTGGTACAATTTTCAGATTCATGTACTGTCTATTGAACATATCAACACTATAATTTCTCACGGTTTTTAGTTTTGTTATGTTTGTAAGACTACCAATTGCTCCAAAAGCTTACGCTTTTTGGAGAATGGGCCCAACTAATTAAAATAAGTCTCAACACCATCTTCACGTTAAGCCCCATTTACTCATGGGGAGATATACCACCAAGTACACCAATATGTGCCAATAAACGCAGATGTCAGTCTGTACAAATGCAATGGGGTATCATATGCTGACACTCAGACCTGAACTCCAGACCTCATGGAATATAGATCTAATACAATGTGAGACTCTGAATTACTCCAAAAGCTTAAGCTTTTTGGAGAATGGGTCCAACAGTGTATATCAATCTCGAATATGTTTTTGAAGAGCAAACAATTGCTGTTGTTCGACACAATTTGCATCTGCTCATAGAACCTCAATTTGGTTGCTCTGAATGTGAATCCTAACAGCTAAAGCATTGGCGCCTAGTATTTCCGAGAAGCAATTCACCAACTTTGTCCTGTGGATATTAGGTTTTCAGGGATAAAAAATAAAGATGACGGGCTTATGATGTGATATTGTATGGTTAGTTCATTTTCTTGCTCCACTTTGTGCTCACTACAAAATGATATGAGAACACTAGTGTCAGCCATTGGACATATAGTTGAGGCCAGGATTAATTGTGGTAATCAGCTACCTTATCCATGATACTCTCAATCTTCATGTGGTCACTTCATTTAGTGTGTTGCACATGTCATGGTCGTGATAGCATGTGTCATGAAAGATTTGTTCTTCACTTCATATTAGTTTTCCATTATAATTACCGATATCTCTTTGCTATAGTTTATTTCCAGACAAAAATTTGACGAAGAAAATGAAGAAACAGTAATTAGGCCAAGTGGAATATTGAACTGGCATGATGTGCCAACAATAATTGTAGTTGAAATTGCAGGGTAGTGGCGTCATAACTGGCTCAAATCATGTTACATGTTCTTGGCTTGTGTTTTCATGACAGCCTATGTTTCCTTCAAACCTACTTCAATGTTGTAGTCCCAGAGTTGAAAACCTTTCTTCCAAGAGTTGTATATGATATTCCTCCTGGTGGGGTTATTCCTATTTCTGTCATGGGAAATAAGGTTTCTGGACCCTTTTTGTACTCTTGCGGACAGTCTGGTAATGTTATCACTGAGGTAAGCATTCAGTCAAAAACTCAATCCTGGTGAACTGGGCATCCTAGAACGTTCTAAAATCAGCGGTTGCAGTGCTATGAGCGGCATTACTTTAGGATTAAGATATGTTTAAATGGAGATTATATTGAGTTGTGTCTGTCAATGTGAAGGAGCTGACTTCATAAAGAATTTAGATGTGGATACAGCTTGATGTTCTACACTTAGTGCGTTATAATTTCCTTAAATTAGTTATCTCATATATCTCATTTGGATTGCCTTCTCTTTTGTACTTTTGGGTTACTAACACAGACATTGTATGTTTTTCCTTTTACAACTACCTTCTATTAACTTTTCTCATGGGAATACACTTTTTCTATGACCTGACTTAGTATACTTATTTTGTAGCGTTGATTTGGAATTCCCAAAAATTGAGGTTCGATTTGAGGATCTGAGAGTAGATGCATACATACATGTTGGAAGCAGAGCATTGCCTACTATTCCCAATTTCATTTGTAACATGTCTGAGGTGATTTTTCAGGCGTGAATGCTTTCATAGACCTACTTATCATTAGTTTCTGACAATATGTTCTTCAATTTTTTTTCAAAGGCTTTCTGGAGGCAGTTCAGAATTTTCCCTAGCAGAAGAAAGAAGTTATCTGTCTTAAACAACATCAGTGGTATTATTAGGCCTTCCAGGTAAAGTTTGAGCTTGATTAGATCATGACTTAGATTTTTCATCCAGTTATGTATGTTGAGTTTTGTTGTTTTGCTTTAGATTGACTCTGCTTTTGGGTCCTCCAAGCTCTGGAAAGACGACACTGCTGTTGGCTCTTGCTGGCCGACTTGGACCTGGTCTGCAGGTATTTATTGCATCAGAATTGATGCCTTTTTTCAAATTCCTGAATGTAGTGTTAATTTTTTAAGTGTGGACCAGTTTTCTGGACAAACGCTTGAAAAAAAGATACCTTAAAATGATTGTAGATATCCTTGTTGTTCAAATGTCTATAAGGAAGTATATAAAAGTTTGTTCAAGAAGTCGCCTTCTTGTAATGAGTAGCATCTCTCTCTGCATATTTTTAAGGAGTTCAACAGCTGTGTTTGATGGGGTGGAGGTGGATACAATGCTACACATCTCATCAATGCAGGTGTGCACACTAAAGAATTGGAAAACCAAACACCTAGCAAATGATTTCAATAGAACATGGCGATAGTTATCATCTTGAGTTTTTGGTTTGTTATATCTCAGTAATGGATTTGAGTCACTTTGAAGATGTCAGGGAGAATTACATACAATGGGCATGACTTCAAGGAGTTCGTCCCCCAAAGGACTTCAGCATATGTCAGCCAGAAGGACTGGCACATGGCAGAAATGACAGTGAGGGAGACTCTCACATTCTCCGGACGTTGTCAAGGTGTTGGATTCAAGCAGGGTAAGCTCAAGTATATCTTGTGTGTGTGCATATGGGGGTTGGTGTGTGAGTGCCTGTCTTTGTAACCATGCTTCTGATTTGATTTTACTGAAGTTGTCTGTCATTGAAACTTGATGGCACCAATGAAAACTTGAAACAGATATGCTTTTGGAACTTTTAAGAAGAGAGAAGAATGCCGGGATAAATCCGGATGAAGATCTTGATATATTTGTGAAGGTTAGTGGACGCCGTCTTTAATGTTGTATGTCTGTGTTAATGAATAGCGAGTAAGAAACATGTGTTTGTTTCACTATTAAACTCATTGTGTTCACTTTAGGCAGTAGCACTGGGGGAGCAGACAAGCCTTCTTGTGGAATATATCATGAAGGTACATTAATAGATTAGGTCAATTTTTTTTGTCATTGAGGCAACTAATGGCTTTATCTCAGGGTCTGTATTAACATATTCTCTGTGTATGGCTATTGAGTATGATGTGTTGCAATTCTTAGTTTTTCCTGATTTCAGTTTTTCTATATGAACAGCACTGTTATTTTAAGAACCCACAAAGGAAAACTGGCATTTTGGGCTGAATTTTAAATACTAGCGAGTAGTGATATAAAATTAGTTGCACCATTCTTTCTTGGAAAAGAATCATTTCTTTGGAAAGGACAACATTGTCATCATACTTCAGTTGTTACTGAGCATTTTTGGTCTCATTGAATCTTAATTTTGGAATTACCTTTGCATATGCCTGATGCATTAAATTCTGGAACAGACTTTTCATCTTTGCAGCTGTGTGTGGGAAATATTTTACACATTTTTTATATCCTTATGAAATGTTTACAAAGATGTTAGGATTGGATATTTGTGCTGATACATTGGTGGGAGATGAAATGCTCAAAGGAATCTCTGGGGGTCAAAAGAAGCGTCTTACTACTGGTAGTTACCCCTACTCTTTTAAGTTTAATCTTTACTCATTTGTGCCTGGCCAAGTTTTGGGGCTTAACTTCTTACAAAATTGCCATATGATGGCAGCTGAATTGCTAATGGGTGCATATAGAGTGATTTTCATGGATGAGATATCAACTGGGCTTGATAGTTCAACAACGCATCAAATTGTTAATTATCTTAGGCACACAACTCATGCTCTTGATGGGACTACAGTCATTTCACTCTTGCAACCAGATCCTGAGACTTATGAGTTGTTTGACGATATAATACTTATAAGTGAAGGGCAGATTCTATATCAGGGGCCCCGTGATGCTGCTCTCATATTCTTTGCTTCCATGGGTTTTCGGTGTCCAGATAGGAAAAATGTTGCTGATTTTTTGCAAGAAGTATGCATGTGGATTTTGATCTCTGAATTTATTGCATACCGAGTAACATTCTGATTGCTTTTTCCTCTTGAATGATTTAACACAGGTTACATCAGAAAAAGATCAGCAGCAGTATTGGTTCCTTGATAGCCATTACCAGTATGTGCCTGTGGCAAAGTTTGTAGAAGCTTTTCGATCATTTTGGGTGGGTAATTATTTGTCCCAGGAGCTGGCTGTTCCATTTGATACACGCTATAATCATCCAGCAGCTCTTTCAACTAGTGCCTATGGTGTAAAGAGGGCTGAGCTTCTCAAGATCAGTTTTTCCTGGCAGATGCTACTACTGAAACGAAATTCATTTGTCTTTGTGTTCAAATTCATGCAGGTAATGTTTTCGTCAGCTTTGTCATCATCCCAGGCTAAATGCCTTGCACTTAGCATGGACATTGCTACCAGACTTTCTGGCAGACGAGGTCACAGCACCGAACATCAGACCATATTCATGAAACTTTGATTCTTATTTCTATATACAATGTTGTACTGTATAATTTTAGCTTAGTTTGACAATAAATTCCTTAGTGGGGTCTTGGACTATGTCGTTCCAAACATAGTTATCACATTGAGTCACTAGAGCTGCCTCCTTTCTATTAAAAAGTATTATCCTTTCCTTTCCATGATTAATTGTTTGGTGGCAGTGGCTTGTAGGTCCATCACCACAAGATGATAAATACATTTATGTTGGCAGAATGATTGTATCCTTCAAGCTAACATGCGCTTATATGGGAGCTCTGTGTTAATTTGCAGCTTCTTTTAGTCATTTTGATCATGATGAGTGTGTTTTTCCGAACAACAATGCACCATAATACTCTTGACGACGGAGGTGTTTATCTTGGTGCACTCTACTTTGCGATAGTTATGATTCTTTTCAATGGCTTCATGGAGGTCCCTATGTTGATTGCCAAGCTTCCTGTTTTTTACAAGCACAGAGACTTGCACTTTTATCCGTGCTGGGTTTATACACTTCCTTCTTGGCTTTTGAGTGTTCCATTGTCGATTTTTGAGTCTGGTATATGGGTGGCAGCTACATACTACGTGGTTGGGTTTGATCCCCAAAGTACTAGGTACACACTTTGCTTTTCCTCCTTGGTCACTCAATTTTTTTTCATAGTATCCTCTTTTGGGGGTAATTTTAGATGGATTCATCTGACTAATACAATTGTCTGCAGATGCCTTCGGCAGTTTTTATTGTATTTCTCTATGCACCAGATGTCAATTGCTCTCTTCCGTGTGATGGCATCCTTAGGCAGAAATATGATAGTTGCCAATACTTTTGGATCTTTTGCAATGTTGGTTGTGATGGCTCTCGGAGGATTTGTCATTTCAAGAGGTTAAAGATTCGTTTCTATCCTGTTCCATCTAACTTACTTCACTATCTTGTGAACTTCAAAGTCGAAAAATGCACAGCTTGTGAACTAATCTTTCTTATTGCAACAGATAGCATTCCACGTTGGTGGATCTGGGGTTACTGGTTTTCTCCTTTGATGTATGCTCAAAATTCTGCTTCGGTGAATGAATTTCTCGGCCATTCCTGGGATAAGGTAATCTGATTTCATACACAATATTTCTGGGTCCTCTGTCTTTTCTACTTATTATAGACTTGTAGTGGTGAAAATATTCTTTCCACTCTTAGACTGTGTGCAAATCATTTATGCTACTCTTGAAAGCATGACATTTATCTTATTTTCTTTGTGTGGACAACTACCACAAAAATGCTACATAACTGTTACATGTATCTACGTCAATAAAGTTGCACTTTTCTGGATCTAAGAAATTTTTAATAGCAACTGTTCATGGTTTTGGGTTTTAGTGTCAGTTTCTTCCTTTTGGTTGGATAAGTTCAAACAACACACAACCTACTTTTTATGATCAAAAAGTAGTGGTATGATTAGGGTTGTGGATGGTAACTCAAACCAACTAAGCCCAGTTTCTTCCTTTTGGTTGGATAATTCAAACAATATGCAACCTACTGTTTATGATCAAAAAGCAATATTAGGGACTAGGGTTGTGAATGAGTAACCCAAACCAACTGAGCCTCTGGTTCAATTATTATTTTTTCTTTGTTGATTAACAGAACTCACAATACTTAGAAGCTGATATAAAGAAACCGTTTATATGTGACCAGATGGGAAAAGATACCAAATGCTTTGTTAGGATGTTATTTATAAACGATCATTGTTTCTGCTATATTTGATGAGGTAGAAATGTCAATACTCAATAGTATAAAATTTACTGAACCAGTGGACTTTGATATATGTCACCTATGAAACATGGATATAGATTCGGGATACAGGTATGATACGATATGGATATAGCGATACGACAAAATCTAAAAAAGTAGGATACGGCTACAACTAGGATATGTCTATAGTAAAATATGTTTCATTTTTTTACTATCATCTACTTAATAATTATATATTTTGGTAATTCTTTAACATAATAAGCAAAATTGACACTTTTTCTTTAGTTTAAAAAAAATGTATTTATCGTATTATTATAGTACATTCACAAAGTAAAGTGACTAATTACAAGAATCAAAACTAATATTTACTTAGTTAGTTTGCTTAGAAGTATTTGTTGCTAAAAGTATAAATAGATTCATTTGATGCCCTTTTAACATGTAATAGTAGACAAAACGTAAAAAAACTCGTGTCTTCAAAGTCATATGAATTTTTGTTGATGTTTTGTATGGTATGAAAGGGATATGTTTAATGGTTAAATTAAAAAATTATACATATTGCTCCACTAAATATTTTATTATTATTGGATACATAGGAGGTGTATCCGTATCTTTGAGTATCCGTTGAGTATCATATCTAATATCGATACGTTGACCTCAATGAAGTATTTGTGCTTCATTGTATGAAACCTACAAGAATGCGAAATCATCACATATTTCTGCTTTGTGAGGTGCAGCCTTTATGTGATATAAATGAAAAGTTGATGTTTTAAGTTACTTTTGAAATTCTAAAATGACTTCAACATCCAACTAAAAATTAATTGGCGATAATTAAAGAGGAGTTTTGGGGGCCGTGCACCACCAATGTGGGACACTCTTCTTTTAACATCTCCCGCTTCCAATCCCAACTTGCAAGCGAAGAGACCAACACACTTACTCACTTACGACCATATTATGTTATACTTCACTTACTTAATAGGGGAATAAACGATAACATAATTGAGTGATGCAATGGGAGAAAAAATGATTGATCTTGATTCATGGGTCTCCTAAAACTCTGCTTTGATATTATGCCAAAGCATCCAACTCAAAACCAATAGCCATGGGCAGCGAGTAACATAAAACTTAGATCTGCTGGTCCCGAGTGGCAAAATACTTTTGTTGTGCACTAGTAGATCATGGTTTTGAATCCCCTTCCCTGTATTATAAGATAAAAGTAACATAAGACTCATAGGCTTTTCTGGGAGGCCTAACTCTACTTATCTGGTAAAAGGTTACATGTGTTAACAAGCTATTTCATCAGGAAAAGAGGCCAATTGATGCATCAAGTTTGTCCTGTTTAGCAACTGATTCAAAACCTAAGGCCGGGCTTAGCTCATGTGGCCCCTTCGAACAAGATTGAATTCAATAACAGCTGTAACTTGAATTCATGCCTTCTATGAGCTCTCAACTTTGTATGATTGTTATGTGGCGATTAGAACTCAGTTTTTTGGGGAATTATATTTGTTTTCGTCTTTGACTTGTAGAAAGCTGGGAACCAGACTAGTTTGTCTTTGGGCCAGACGTTACTACAGGTTCGCAGTTTATTTCCAGAGGGTTATTGGTATTGGATTGGTGTGGGAGCTTTGCTCGGTTACACAATTTTGTTCAACGTCTTCTTCACAAGTTTCCTGACTTACCTCAACCGTAAGTACTAAGTAGTATATCAGGAAAAGTTCCAATTGGATTCTTGCATGGATGGGATGCTAATTCCACAAGATGATTCCCCAAGTTTCACATTGCTATCATTTTTCAAACAGAAGTATAGTAACTTTGATGGTTAAAAATATTTGATCATAAAAAATAAAGAATATCATTGTCATTATTTTCATAGCCACTATTCAGGAATCAAGGCAGTAGTGTGCACCATTTGATATAATGTAGTATGACACTATGATGAGGATCCCGACACTCAGAGGGGCGCAGAGCCTTCTTCAAATGGCTTGTATAGTAGCGCCCTCTTGGAGAGTACTTTGCATCATGAAAAGGCCAGTTCTGCATGAGCTAGCTTGCAGAGTCCTCTATTATTTATGTTTTAAACACTGATAGCATCATAACGTCATCAAAATTTTAGAAGCAAACCTAAGTCATTCCAGGATGCCAGGCTTAATTTTGTTACCAGCCAAACTTTAACTTTGAAGCTTATTCTAAATAAGAGAAAACCATAAAGATCCTACTTTTTTTTTTTTCATCTGTACAGCCCTTGGAAACCAGCAAGCCGTCGTTTCTAAGGAGGAGCTCCAAGACAAAGTCAAGAAAAAGGAGAATGAACAAGCAGTTCTTGAGCTAAGACAATTTTTACAACATTCACACTCTTTCACTGGTTTGTCTCGCATTATTAGAATTTGAATTGATCTAGTTGATGCTATTAGAAGATCTTTAAAATATGACTTCTTGTTGTTGCAGGAAAACAAAGTGTAAGACAGAAAGGCATGGTTCTTCCATTTGAACCTCTGTCCATGTCTTTCAGCAACATCAGTTATTACGTGGATGTTCCTATGGTATATCAGCAGCTTATGTCTGTAAACCAATTTGAAAGGAATTCACTTTTTTCTGAAAAGTTCATTATTTTATCTGCATATTGCTTCAGGAACTGAAGCATCACGGTTTATCAGAAGACAGATTGCAATTGTTAGTTAATGTTACTGGAGCATTCAGGCCAGGTGTCCTTACTGCTTTAGTTGGTGTAAGTGGAGCTGGAAAAACTACCCTCATGGATGTTTTAGCTGGTAGGAAGACAGGGGGACATATTCAAGGAACTATATATATTTCTGGGTACCCCAAAAAGCAAGAAACTTTTGCAAGGGTTTCTGGCTACTGTGAACAAAATGATGTTCATTCTCCATGTTTGACTGTCCATGAATCACTCCTGTTTTCTGCTTGGCTCCGGTTACCTTCAGATGTTGGCTTAAAAACACAAAGGGTGATTACCTGATTTCGTTTTTCTTTTATTTGTGATTTCTTCATTTAGGAAATTTATTCATGCTTGAGTGTCAATTTGCAGGCTTTTGTAGATGAGGTTATGGAACTTGTCGAACTTACTCCATTAAGTGGAGCATTAGTTGGTCTACCAGGGGTTGATGGGTTGTCAACAGAGCAAAGAAAAAGGCTGACGATTGCTGTTGAGCTTGTGGCCAATCCTTCTATTGTGTTCATGGACGAACCTACTTCAGGACTGGATGCTAGGGCTGCTGCCATTGTAATGAGAACTGTGAGGAATATCGTAGACACTGGGAGGACAATTGTTTGCACTATCCATCAGCCCAGCATTGATATTTTTGAATCTTTTGACGAGGTATTTCTCTATTGTTTTCTATTTAAAACTCATTAAGGAGAATTTTATTTTCTCTCTTAGAAAAAATGATCTCAAAGTATTTAATTTTCTAATTTAGAAAATATGGGCTAAAGTATCAAACTCAAAACCTATTGACAAAGAGTATAGACGCCCACAAGGCTCGCCCAATAGTTTGGAAGGTGCTGTTTTAGCAAATGTGAGACAATCAACCCCTTTCCTGCAGATGCGACCCTCATTGGTACAGGGAGAGATAACCAGAAGAATCAAAATACTTATTCAAAGGCATAACAAGTGTATGTATGGCACAATCATAGGAGGAATCAATTACTAACTTGTTGAAATTAAGACTTGCCTAACACCTGAAACCCAGCTCTGATACTGTGTTGAAATATTCAACTCAAATCCAAATCACAATGAGTAGAGAGGCTCACAAGGCTCATATTGTAGTTTGGGCAGTGTTATTTTATTAACATGAAACAAGCTCTAACATTAAAAATGTGTCAGAAAGTTATTGGTCAATAATGGTATTTGATATAAGTCAAAGCCAATTTTGCAGGGACAAGTGTGGCAATTTCTTGCTCAAAGCCTCGACAAAATGCCAACAAAAATAAATAAATAAAACTACACTGTACATTAAGTTATTATTTCGATAAAAAACCTTTAAAATTATAACTTCATCCAAGTTTTTTTTAGTAAGTTATTTGTTTTTTCTGGAACTGTTTTTTAGAAGAAGTTAGACTGCATCAAAACATAAAATCGATTTTCATGAACTTGGATGAACTGCGGACAATGAATTTGCCAAATAGAAGATTTACCATTATTTTGCAAATGAAGTAATTGCATTAGCAAAAGGTGGTTTCGAGATGGATGTTAGATAACTAAATACATAAATTCATGCATGCATGTACTCATAATGTGTAGTATGCTTTTCGAGACAGTGTATGAGTATGACTATTTGAAGTTCTCTTCAAATGTGGTCTGATTTCCGTAATATAGTATAGTTAAGTCACCGAGAAGTTGTCTTGATGCACATTATTATTGCTAGTGAGCAATTAATTTTTGCATTAAAAGAGGAAGATGCAACGCAATTTTGGTTCTAATAATCGGATAAAAATTCAAATACTCAATCCTCAGTGACTGAAATTGTGATGAAGGTTTTCCAGTCACTCCTTTGCAATGCAATAGTTTCTGTATTGAAATTGGAGTGCATGACCACGACCATGCTGCAGGAGATATAGCTGTACCATATATTTTTTTAGGTGATAAGTTCAATAATTTTTTATCCATTATTGGATGTAATCTACATCCATACTCTTATCACAGCTTGTGCTCATGAAACGAGGCGGAGAGCTCATTTATGCCGGTCCTTTGGGCAAAAGATCTTGCAAGCTTATTCAGTATTTTCAGGTGGGCTTGAAATTGTTGATGTATATCCTGGATGGAAAAACTAAGCTTGATATGGTCTTGAGCTCCTTAATACTTAAATCTGTCTTCATTTTCCTAGGCAGTTCAAGGGGTTCATAAGATCAGGCCTGGATATAACCCTGCTACTTGGATTCTGGAGGTCACTTCTCCAGCAGAAGAAATTCGCCTTGGTTTGGACTTTGCAGAAGTTTATCGCAGATCAAATCTTTCTGAGTATGTGCATCTTTTTCTTTTGCAGAGGCGTGCTTATTTCAACCAGTTAGTTTTTGCTTTCTTATACAGTTGTATGTTGTTGCAGGAGAAATAAAGACCTGGTTGAAAGATTAAGCAAACCAAATAGTGATTCCAATGAATTAATCTTCCCAAGCAAATACTCAAGGTCATTTTTTGCCCAGTTTCTAGCGTGTCTTTGGAAGCAGAGCCTGTCTTACTGGAGGAATCCACAGTACACTGCTGTACGCTTCTTCTACACAGTTATCATATCTTTGATGTTTGGAACAATATGCTGGAGATTTGGTTCTAAAAGGTTTCTTTCTTGAAACTTGTCTTTATACTGATCAAGTGAGCATTGAGTCCTGGAAAATAGAAAATTTAGCCTTTCTTCAGTTAGGCATTATATTATGAATGCATCCTAGCGTCCAGGTTGTTCGCTAACATGGTTCTATTTAGCAATTTCTACTTTCTTTTGTCGGGTTGAATGACAGTTAGCAGTTTACAGAAGAAAAGATTAATGGTGTCGAAAGAACAATAACCACAATAATATTCTTTTTAGACCCTGTTGAGACTTACCTGAAAAAGGTCCCATTTACTGGGAGAGGCATATTGCATGACTTCATCAAACATGATATCCTCGGATCCCTGTTAGTATGGGAAAGACATAAATGTCTTCCCTTATGTGGCTTCTCTCCACCTTGTCTCCTTTACATTTTACCCCGCAACTTGACTTCTGCTGGTTAAAGCATCTTCAAAGATTCTGAATATTTGCACTCACTTATCTGTATCGCACTTCATTCAACAGGGAAACCCAGCAGGATATTGTTAATGCTATGGGATCCATGTATGCAGCAGTCTTATTTATTGGAATCACAAATGCCACTTCTGTGCAACCTGTGGTTTATGTTGAGAGGTTTGTCACATATCGAGAGAGAGCAGCAGGGATGTATTCTGCTCTGCCATTTGCATTTGCACAGGCATGCCTAATTGCCTTCTTTCCTGTTCCCTTGCAATAGTTTTCTTGTAGTTACTTAATGGTCTCCAAATACTATGCTAACACACTTTACTGAATTCTTTTATTCAGGTTACGATTGAATTCCCCTATGTGTTTGTACAGTCACTGATTTACAGCACTATCTTCTACTTCATGGCATCTTTTGAGTGGAGCCCTTGGAAGTTTATTTGGTACATAAACTTCATGTATTTCACTTTACTATACTTCACCTTCTTTGGAATGATGACGACTGCTGTTACTCCTAATCAAAATATTGCTGCAATCCTTGCTGCACCGTTCTATATGATGTGGAACCTTTTCAGTGGATTCATGATTCCTCACATGGTAAGGCATTGGGAATTGCTTTTCCCCTGTATCAAACTATCCTCTGTATCTCGTACTATAGAAATCGCATCTTAATTGTGTATAATGATATAGCATTATGTAATAGTGACATTTAGCTATAAACATAGTATTCATTTCTCGAGGCATCATTGAGCATGTGAAGGCAGTCTGCTCTTTCTGTACACTTCAGCGACACTATTTTTGCCAGACTATTTTATCCTTCTATAGTACAGTGGATTATAAATGTAGTCTTTGGCATGGCATTATTAGCCACACTTTGAGAAGAGTTCAGAAACTAATGGCAATTCAGATGATCCCAATCTCGACATTAGAAGCATCAAATGAACAGTTTTTACTCCATTTGCACTTTACTCCCCCTGGCTAGCTTAGCCATTTAAGCTACTTCTTGTGTCTGATTGTCTTTTTCCCTTCTTCAGAGAATCCCCATATGGTGGAGATGGTATTACTGGGCAAATCCAATAGCCTGGAGTTTGTATGGCCTTCTCACATCCCAATACGGAGACCTGGATGATCTGGTAAAGCTTGCTGATGGCACTCGATCAGTGCCAATAAAACAACTGCTTAAAGACCAGTTTGATTATAGGCACGATTTCTTGGGTATTGCCAGCATTGTAGTAGTTGGTTTCTGTGTGCTATACGCAGTGACTTTTGCTTTCGCCATCAAATTCTTCAACTTCCAGAGGAGATGAAGAGAAGGAATGCAACAGAGTTTGACATCTAACAAATAATGGTAACTGCATAATGCTTCTAATATTCATTTTACTCGTGAGTGATTAATTTCGCCGAATAAATCCTTGACAGTTCATGATTCCAACCAACAACTTACTGATTCTCCACAGTCACAACATTATTCCATATTTTGAAAACTCGGGACTCGGCTTAGTCGAGTTGTTGAGAAAAGTGAACTATTTTCTGCAAGTAGTACTAAAAACTTTGCACTACCAAAGTGTTTGCAGCACAAGATGATTTATGCTTCATTGACAACCTTCTACCATCCCTCAAATCGAAAAGAATGGCCCTTGCTTTTCCATTCTTAAGGTGTTTTCTAGTAAATAGACCGTATTACAATAATGGCAAAACAGCTCTCATCTCACACTCTTGTCTTGTGATATTTACGTGGTTTTTTTCCCAGGGTATTGCGGAAGTAGTCATTCTTTTTGTGCATCTGTGAGTCTTCAGAAAACACAGATGAACACTTGCACACAAACGACACATACACGGAAAATGAATCAATCCTTTGTTTTGTTGATCACATTGGAATTTTCTGCAAAACAAATTCTCATTTTTTCCACTGATGTCTCAAAAATATTGTTCACTGTTCTTCAAACATTTCATCCCCATGATTCAAGTCATTGCACATTTTAGAAGAAGAAAAGAAAGTGTTGCAAATGAAACTCTGTACATGCTAGACATAGGAAATTGTCACTTGCCAAATTTGCTGATTGAATGACTACTATTTTGTGTGACCTGTATGTCTCGTACCTCAAATTTGATGAATAACTGACCATGATATATTTTCCGTGCAGCGCTATTGTTCCAATTTTCATATAGATTTCTGAAGAAAAAAAAAACTCTACCAAAACAGAGAGCACGAACAACCGACTGCAATACAGAACAAGAGTGCATTGGCATCTGTAAGATCAGATTATTCAGTTGGATTTTACTTTGTTTACAGGAGCACTTCATTTTACTATACATTTAATACATAAAAGTTCTATTTTCCATCAAGTTGTTTACGAACAGTTACAAATGATCTCATTCCCTGTTGCTGTTATTGTACTTCTTGTCAAAATCTGTATGAGAATGCTTGTCATTTTTTAAAAATAATGTACTATGCACCATAATGTATCGTGGATGATAAGAGCAAATGCACATATATAACAAAATATGTATTGTCTCAAATAATATAAATACCATTTCAACTCACTCATCATTTCTTGCAATGTGTGTGTCCAATAGAAATCGAAAGAGAGACAATTGTCTGTCTTCACAACAGAGATCAAAATATAGTTAGGATTTTGTTTGTTCGAATGAGAAGAAGAATAAGATGCTTGATTTGTTTGAGATCAAAACAAAAAAGGAAAAATAAAATATATAGAAATGACATTGTTTCACCGTTTAGGGTAACAAAAACCCTTGTGAAATGATGTTGTTTTGATATTAAGTGGATCGTTTTGTCATTGTATCAAAATATATTGTAAGATACATATTACATATCCTAAGATATGGCAAAAAAGATTCAATTCATAGATATTTATGGTTCGAATATTTTATTGAGACGTATCATAAGATATATATCACGTATCTTAAAATATTGATAACTATGCTTATGGTAAATTTGCATCAGTTCTTTAATGAACAACTCAGTTTCAATGAATAAAAGATATAGAGATGTCATTTGTGACATTGGAGAAAGATTAGATGCATACAATTTTGCCACATGGTGATTGTTCTTTGGTATCATGATCTAAATAAAATGAAAAAAAAAGGCACAGAAAAACAAACATATTACCTTTGTTTTGGAGAGGTTAGCTAATGGACTCGAACTCGTGAATAAGTATGTCAATGGATCAGATTCCAACCAACCGATTTGAATTTAAATTCGATTTAAAAACTCAAATTCGCATACGGTTCAAATATTCAACACATTATATTTTCCTAGTTTTTTCCAAATCCTTTCCAAATGAATCTAAACATACGATGCGGAGAGATTGTGGGCCGAAGGGAGATTAGTTTTGAGTATAAATATAAAACAAATTTGTATACAAACTCTTGACATTTAGTTTTATTATATAGAGATCCCATCACATTTTAAAAATTTCGGTGAAAAGAGATTATTCTGAATATAAAAAAAGTAATGTCAACTTGTTGTTTACATAATTATGTAAAATTTTATTTGTCACAGTGTTACAAATTAATCAACTCATTCAAAGAAATATGAACGTAATACTTAATCGAAAAAAATAACATGAATGTAATACTATATACTGATAGTTATGGAGGGATTAGATTATAATAGCATTTTATGCACCAATAATTCAGATGATAATTTGTTTACAAGGTTGCACCTATCAAGTTTCTTGCTTCATAAATGCTTAAAGTTCAAAAATAAATAAAATAAAAAGGTTTTTTTTGGGGGTCTACGATAAAAATAAAGAAAGATTCAATGATGCGAATGTTAGAGTTTGTGTTTTCTAGGGAATCAGAGATATATGTGTTAGAGTAGTTAACATGTTTAGACTTAGGGGTAGTTTAATCATTTGTTTTCTTTTATGTTATCCTAGCTTAGTCTGTTTGTTTTCCTTTTACCCTATTAAATAAAGACCTCTTATATGTATTTTTTCTTTAAGGTTGTTCTAGCTAGCTATGCCTCAACAATATTTCTTTGTTCTAGTTTCTTTCTTTATTATTTGATCAAAGTTTTCATGGCATCAGAGCTAACATGGTTCTAAGGGCTATGAACAGTGCTGAATTCGACTATTATGAGTATTTGATTTGTAAAGTTGTTGAGTTAATTTATGGCGAACTTTGAATTGTTCTTCTTTTGGTTGTAGTTTATGCTTTTGGCTACAATTGGTTTGAGGCTAGTTCTGGTTTGACTATTCTTTTGTTAATTTGGACTATTAGGCTTTTGGCCATTTGAATTGGGTATTGTTGCTGGTGGTTTTTGTTGGGCAACCTCAATCCTTTGAGTTTTTGATTTGGGCTGGTGTTAATTTGAGTTTCTCTCTGTTGGGCTGTTGGTTTGGATTTTCTTCTCTTTTTTGTTGGACTTTGTTTTGTTGGGCATTGTTGCTGGTGGTTTTTGTTGGGCAACTCCAATCCTTTGGATTTGTTGATTTGATCTTCTTTCTGTTGGGCTGTTGGTTTGACTTTTCTTCTCTTCTTTGTTGGACTTTGTTTTGTTGGGCATTGTTGTAGGTGATTTTTGTTGGGCAACCCCAATCCTTTGAGTTTGTTGATTTGGACTTCTTTCTGTTGAGTTGTTGGTTTGACTTTTCTTCTCTTCTTTGTTGGGCTTTGTTTTGTTGGATAATTCAAATCCTTTGGGTTTGTGGATTTGGGCTTCTTTATGTTGGGTTACTGGTTTGCATTTTCTTATCTTTTTTGTTGGGCATTATTGCTGGTGATTTTTGTTGGACTTTAGTTTTTTGTTGGACCCCTCATTGCTATTTGGGCCTTAATTTGTTAAGCCTATACTTTGAGTTTTTGTTCAGTTTATTATTTTCTTCCTCTAAGTCTCTGGAACTCCGTACTTACTCTGATACGGACTGGGCTGGTGACTCTATGGATCGCAAGTCCACTATTAGTTTTTGTTTTTTCCTTGATGATTCTCTTATTTTGTGAAAAAGTAAGAAACAAACTGTTGTGACTCGATCATCTGTTGAAACTGAGAATAATGCTATAGCCTTCATAACAGCAGAGATAATTTAGTTGTGTTGATTACTTGCTGATCGTTTTTTTACGAAATCGCACACCATAGCGCACTTCCGATTTTCTTCTTAGCAATCTCTTGATGTTTAATATTACCATATCATAAGTTTAAAAGAGGGTGTTAGAGTAGTTAAAATATTTAGACTTAGGGGCAGCTTAATCATTTGTTTTCTTTTATGTTGTCTTAGCTTAGTTTGTTTGTTTTTCTTTTGCCCTACTATATAAAGACCTCTTATATGTAATTTTTCTTTAAGGCTGTTTTGACTAGTTATGTCTCAATAATATTTTTTTCTTCTAGTTTCTTTCTTTATTATTTGATCAAAGTTTACAATATGATAGGACGCAAAGAGATTTTATCTAAAGATAATATGTAGGCCATTGGACATTGGGTCAATAGTCGTAGACACACCGTATCAAATCATGATATTTGTAAATTAGCCTGAAAAATAAAAAAAAGTGAACTCCAATAAAAAAGATAATAATAAATATTTTATCAAGGCATCGTGATTTAAAAAGAGAACTCCAATAAAAAAAAAATAACAATAATATTATTTAAACATAATTTATCACACCCCTGATGGGTGCTCCAATAGTTAAGTCTGACTATTGATAATTCAGAGGTATTACGTTTAATTTCTTTTCACATCTCCTAAGGACTAGTCATCTTTGTCCCTAAAGGGATATGCTCTAACTCAACTCAAGTCACAGTACTTAATTGCTAAGTTTAAGGGAGTAGTCGGCACAAATCTTAACAAAAAAAACAAAAATAGGATAAATTAAAAAAAAGTTTGAAATGATAACGATTATATAAGGTAAATTAAGTTTGAAAATTGATTGGTCATTGACAACATCTTGGGCACAAGCGGAGGGAATATAATATTGACATGTAAGAGCACACCCAAAGCTCAATGCTAGTAAAAGAACGGTTGAGCAATGGATTGGAGGTGTGAAGTTGGGAGAGTGGATGCAAAGGAAGTCAACAAATGCACTCGAGAGAGAGAGAGAGAGAGAGAGAGAGAGAATCAGTGCTTGAGAATTCCTCCCACTAATCACTCCACATACAAACGAAAATATTCTTCTCACGTGCCCCATCCCTCCTCTCTCTTTTCTCTTTGCCCCACACTTTGCTACATCATACTTCACTTGAAAGGGATTGGGGCCCTTCCCTTCCCATTTTCAAAATTTACAAATTTTTTATTTAAATTGGGGTAAATTATACGTTATACTTTATGTCTTGAAAGATTTTAAGTTTCTCACTTTAAACATTCAAAAATTAATTTTTTTATATTGTATCCTTAATGTATTAAAAATATTTTAATATGACTATTCTGTTAACTTTTTGTTAATTTTTCTGTCAATGTCAATGGGTTGACTTTGACGGAAAAAATAACGAAAACTAACTGAAGGACTTCATTGAAACACTTTTGATACATTAAGGGTGCAATATAAAAAATTTAATTTTTGAGTGTACGAATTGAAAAATTTGAAATCTTTTAAGATACAAAATACAAAAACTCTTTCAATTGCATCATTTCGTCTCTGCTTTTTTTTATTTTTGGATCTCTTATATTATTTTAATTCCTGAAGTATTAAAATTTATTTTTACGTGATCCCTCGAGTTGACATCGTCAAAATTGCTAGCTGCTTTTGGTCACGAGCTTACCTTTGTAGCGGTAAAAACAAGTAAATTATTTTAGTTTTTTTTTACCTTCTTCTTGAATTCTTCAAACTCTTTATACTCTCTCTCTCCGCTTATTACCACCGATAGCCCTGCCACTCCCCAATGCCTTACATCCCCTTTCCTCCCACAACCACTCTCTCCTCCTTCCCCCTTTTGTCTCCTTTGTTACGCCTCACCACTGCCTCCCTTGAACCCTATTTTCTCTCTCTTCTCGCTCTTTCTCTCCACTCCCTAGAAACCAACAATCACCACTAGAGGTGGCGACCAGGGGTGAAGTGTAGTCAGAGTCCATTTTTAGTGGAGAAAATCATCAAGTTGAGGATAATGATTGAAGAAAAATCATTAAAATTTATTACGTCTACCAAATATGAGTGTTTTATCATTTACACTATTTAAAAATTAATTCTTCATGATAATTTTTACTTTACTGCTTTAAAAGTTTTTCACGCATAACTTACATGTAAACAAATAGAACCTAATTAAGAAAAGTTATACAACATTTATTTTATAAAAAGTACTAGTATTAGAATAATATTCATAAAAAATGTTATTTTGACAAATCATTATGTAAACAAACTATAAATAGACATGTCAACAGGGGCGGAGCCACCCTTGGGCTAGGTGGGCACATGCCCCCTCAATTTTTTTTTTTGCATATTAAACATATATTTTTTGTTATAAAATTTAAACATATTTAATTATGCCCAGTCTAATATTGTGTTCTGGTGATATTGTTTTGAACAAACTCGTACTTAAATAATTGTTAACTTTTTGAACAACGTTATTGAAACTTAATTTAAGGATATAATACATTGTGATAGTATAATAGTGAGTCTTAATATTTAATAAACTCTACTATCTATCTAATGGTCACAAACCATTGGGTCTCTATCAATTAAATTTCAAATTAAATACAATTAATATAATTATTAACTTTTAGACATGTTCGAATATGTTTTGAATATATTGATGTTATTTTATAATTTTTTTAAATTGTAGGGTTATTTTGTTCTTGTATAAAAATATGTGTCGTTATTTAGTAAACTATAGGATCATAAATGAAAGATTGTTACCGCAATTTTGTATATAAAAGAAATATTATTGATAAAATTAATTTGTAACTCTTTTAAATAATAAAAACATAACAGAGTCAATTGTAAGTAATAATAATTAGTCGCATTCTCGATAAGAAAGTTTTAATTATTATTTTTTTGTTCATGTTATGTATATCGATTTTCAATCTTTTATGGTTAAAAAATATTAAATATAATTTTAATAAATATAATTTTATGAACTTTTACGATTTATTAAAAAAAAAAATTAAATCATGCTACTGTGCTCACCCTAAAATTTTTTTCTAGCTCCGCCCCNATTTATGAACTTTTACGATGTATTAAAAAAAAAAAATTAAATCATGCTACTGTGCTCACCCTAAAATTTTTTTCTGGCTCCGCCCCTGCATGTCAATCATCAAATTTTAATTGATTCAAATTCAAGTTTGATTTGAAAGCTCTATTTTGAATATGATAAAATTATTCACCAAATTTCATCTTTACAATTCTTATAAATATCTTATCCATTAAATATTAAAAATTTAATCAAAAACTAAATCTTATATATGCACGTGTGTGCAAATGTTAGGTCAAATTTTAGTATATTAAAATCTAAATTCTTGAAATATAATAGCACGTTTGAACGATAATCAATTAAATATATCAATTCATACGTAGATAATTGAATTTAAAGGAGGATGAATTCGGTAATTTAATGTGTCATTGTAAAAAGATGAGAAATAGCTAGAGAGTAAAGAAAGAATTGTGAGATTAAGTTTTATGAACTTTAAAAGAAATACCGTGGAGACAAATATTTTAAAATTTTAATTTTCTTATAATTTTAAACTAGTTCCAAAAGTTTTTAAAATCTTAGTGGCGGCAATTGCATACTTTGAGGATTAAAATGAGATATAATGCAAACTTTAAGGATTTTAGCGCAATTAACCCTTTAAATTTTTTAAATTATTTAAAATATCATAATTAGAAAAAGATGATAAAATGGAGTCAAAGTATCAATTATGCATATCGCACGGGGACAACGACAAGTACATATCATTATAGCCATCATGTTTTGTTTGAATTGTATGAGGATAGTCATTTCCCAATTCTCCTAGTTTAAAAATTCTTTATTTATTAAATATAAAAAATAATTTCCTCTAATAATTACCCACCACTCGATTCCTTTAAAACTACACACTCAAAATTCAATGCGAATGTTTCCGCACGGCATCAACAATCACTTGCTTTGAATTTTATCATTTTGGGATATTTTCAGATTTTTTCTAGTTGATGAGAGAGAGAGAGAATGATTTTTTTTTTTTTAATATTTCAATTGTCTCAGTAGATTATTATAATATTATCCTGTTCACGTACTAGATTAATGTTAACCTTGTGTAAAATCGCCTCTCCACACAAAGGGTAAATTTGTGGACAATGACCTTCAAGTGGTTATTCTTCGTAGGATATTCAAACCTCTAACTTACTTCTTGCGAGAAGTTTATTAGTTAGTTGAATTATCACTAAACTAACACTGAGAGTTTATTGTCGATCTCTTTACTTTGAACATAAACATAGTTTACAATCACAAATTTAAGTCACTTCTTTCATTTTTGTTCTAGATAAAAACTTCAATAGTATAAAGAATGATATGAATGTTTATGTCCAAAAAAAAAAAAAAAGGTTTGATATAAAGTTGAAAATACATTACCATTGATTTTGGCGTCAATTACTCACAATCATTAATAGATTCTTTTGCTCACTTTTTAACTTTTTGAGATGTTAACTTGTGACATGTTGATATCAAATCCTGTCACCTTATGCAGACTAGACTAATACAAAGAGAAGGGGTCAATATTGAATTGTTATTTATTCTAAGGGTGGAAAAATAATAGAACAATAATTTGGAGGGGGGAGGGGCTAGAAATGAAATTTCCAAATATATGTGATATATCTTAAATAAATTAAACCAAGTCACCTCTCACTCTCCCCCACTGCATCTCCATTATGTCATGTGGTGTCATTTTCGGTGTGTGACACTTTTAATATATGTTATTTTTGTATTAATAAAAAATATTTAATCTTGTAATAATTAATATAATATTATTTAAAAAATTAAAAAAATTATAAAATCTACAATTTTTCATCAAGTCATTTTCTAGTTTTACGTCAAATTCGGTTCCAGTTGGTGGGTAAAATTGATACCCATACACACTCTCTCTCAATCCCATACACACAAATGACCGAGACAAACGTTGCCGTTTGCCACTGCCAGACAATACTCCAAACATTCCTCAGAAGAAAACAGATCAGTCAGAGAGAGAGAGAGAGAGAGAGAGAGAGAGGGAAAAAGCCTGAAGCTTTTGCTTTTTAATGCTCGTTCTCTCTCTAAAGAAATCTGATTCTTTCATCTTTTCTGGAAATCGTGCACTCTTTTCTTCTCTCTCCGCCAGTGAGTTATGCAGCTTCATGGTGAACACGTGAAGATGAAATGGCTGTGTTGCTGATAAAGATGGCTCACAACAGTAGGAGCAACTCCGACCATGTCAATGCCAACAACAGCACTGAAGAAGTGAAGCCCACAATCTTCCATGACTTTCTGGGTAAAGGGGGTGCCTCCGATTCGTCGCCGGTGGAGGGGAAGTCTGCCGCCGGTGATGCCAGACCTCAGTTCGATGCATCGCCGTCGGCTTCTGTTTCTGCTGGTGCCTCTTCTGGTTGTGGCCTTGGGCCCATCTCCACCACCTCTGATCTGGGTTCTGGTAAGAACCAAGGACACCACCATTTTTTGTTTTTACTTTTTTGGCTGTTCCAATGGGTAGTTGAGGTTATGGTATACAAACCCTTCACTCTCTCTACTTTTAGTTCAATGAATACTCTAACAACATGGGTTATTTTTTTGTTCTTTGCTAAGTAGACTTACATGGGTTGTTTTCTATTTTAATCCGGTGATGTACAAAACCTCACTTTTACTCCCCCTAATTTGATGGGTACTTCTGATTTTTCATCTAATTGTTGTTAGCTCTCTCTCTCTCTGTCTCTCTCTCTCTCTACATGTGTGTGTGTGTGATACATAGGGGTATACATATTTGTGTGTTCTTTTATCTATTCTATATATCCCTCTATAGTGGGGTGGGTATTTCTGTTGTGGAGTCGTTTAAGTGAGGACACTAATGGAGTTAGTAGCTTCACAGATGAAGTTAGTACATTACATATGTATTTTCTGTACATATGGATATACTAAATTAGTCAATCCCTTATCTGATTATGTTTGGGTTTTTCTACCCTAGGTTTATCTGGACTATATTTTCGTCCTTTTTAGCAAATGTGTTTGCTACTTGTCCTCGCTTGATGATGTTAATTTTGGATTCAAACAAAATTTCTTGCATACCATTTGGGCATTTTACTCTGTTTATGTGTATAAATTTTTCTCCTATATGTCCTGATTATTAAGCAGAGGAAGATGGTTTACTGGGAACCTTATTGGTTGTAATTGTAATTGTAGCTGCATAGTATTGTTGAATATTTCGGGATTATGAGATGGTTGGTTTTCATAGTATGTGGTATTTGGATAATTGAATCATAGTTTGATCCATTTCTCATCAATCATGATAGAAAGACACGTACAGAATCATTTTGGGGGGATGCCATTCAACGTACCAAGAAGTGACTTTTCAGGGGCTGAGATTAGTAATAGATTAGCTGGAAGGAAGCGAAGTAACTCAGATTCTGCTTTTATGGGGTCATCTAGAGATGGGTTTCGGCAAATGCAACCAGATTCATTGGAGAGCTCGCATTTGATGAAGGTATGCATTGCCATCCTTCGTTATAATCATCATTCTGCGTCTTCTAGATGAATTGTTAGGTTGTTTTTAACCCATTTATTTATATTAGTGTTTCTGTTTTTTTTTTTTTTCTCTGATAGTGTGAATTTTGTTGAAATTCAGATTCTTCGTAATGCAGGGGGAGAGCGGGCTAGACGGTCCCGTGATGAGGAAGCATACTTTGATATGCGTCCAAGGAGGCCAACTTTGTCATCTCTTATGTTACAGCCAGCTACGAGTGGTAGAATTGACGCTAATTCTTGTAAATGGGAGCGAACTATGCCCGTGAATGTTGGCCCCACAGTACAGTATCCTCCACGCGGAGGTCAAGTTGTGCCTTTCGGTTATCAAACACCATCAAACCTATTAAAAGACAGTGATGTAGGTCCTTCAGTTATTTCTCAAGCAGCTGCGGATGAAGGATCTAGGACTGGCATCAAAGGGTCTGGAATTTTGAGCTCTGTTAGTGCCAGTGGTGGAATCTCTGATAGAAATCCTTCTGGGGTTCTGCCAGGTGGGGGCAAGCAGAAGACTGAGACTCGTATTGTTGAACCTGAGTCTTCTACTCCTCCCAGGTAAATGTCAATATCCAATGTTTTTGTTCTCATGTTCAATTATTATTTCGTACAATGTAAAATGTTAGGGTAGATCTTGATGATGTGCATTTTTCATCTCTATCGTGGCAGTGGACAAAGATTAGCATCTGCTAGTTGCCAGATGACTATATTTTATGGCGGTCAAGCCCATGTTTTTGATGATGTCCACCCAAACAAGGTTTGCTTTCTGCTTCTTTGTGAGTAATCAGTGGCAATATAATTGTTTAATTTTCAAATGCTTATGTTGATGCCTAGGAAAAAAATCAGTTAGTTATGCAAGTGATGTTTAAGAATTTGTATGATCCATGCCCAAGTTTGCTGAGGTTCTTTCACTTTCATTTGGAACTTCAATATTTCTACTAACCCTGATCATGTACCTTTAGTTTTAGATTTTGAGAGTGATGTTGTTGTGATCATGCAACAACTTTCCCTCGCTTTTTTCACCTTATTGAAGCATTGTAGGTATATGCAAATGATAGCATATAGATTATACATAGTCAAATGACTGTAACACGAAATCTGTCCTCAGTCACTTTGCATCATACAATAGCAATGGACTGGAAATATTGTTGCTAAATATCAATCCTTAGCAATTACAAGAGGTAAGCTGTTGTTATTTGGAACAGATCATACGAGACTCGATACTTTTCTTCAAACATACATGCGACTAAATAATCGAGTAAGAGATAACTCTACTCAGTCTGTACTTCTGTTACTGCACCACTCAGGCAATCCAAAATATGACTATCGACTGTTGTGTACAAAACCTTACAATGTGAATATAGACCAATTGCATTCAGTATTCCACAAAAGAAGTTATTCGAGATTTAATTGGGAATCAAATGCTAATCTATCATCATAGGTATGAAAAATTATATATTTTTTTAGAAACTTTACTCTTAGGTAGCTTTCTGTTGACCGTCGTCACACAAAAGCCATTTGTTGTTTGCAGGCACTGTGTCATTTGGTTTTCAAGTCATAACCTCTTGGGTTAGTTTAGCCGTAATCTTGATAGAATTATGGTTAGTTTAGCCGTAATCTTGATAGAATTATGTTTTGTTTGAAGAATTCATCACTATGATTCTTGGTACATCTTATAATGTGTGCATTCACTTCATGTTGATTAAAAGTTGGAACGTTGGGTGGTATTATGCAAACACTGAAGTACATATCACTCCGCAACTCTTGAAAAAGTTGTGAAGTTAATACTATTGCAAATTAAACATATATTTGGCTTTTAGGTTTTTCCAACTAAAATTTGTTCTCCAGTTCAGAAGCTTCCATGATGTGCTCACTTTCTAATCTATTTCAGGCAGACGTAATAATGGCGTTAGCTGGATCAACTGGAGGATCTTGGTCCACAAACTATGCACCAAAATCTGCTGTTAGGTCATCCCCTGTTGAAAATTATAGACTGGGTGGTGAGATCGATATTCGCACAGGCAGTAACTTTGCATTATCCCCAGAACTTCGTGGAAAGCTATCGGTTGCAGGGAACTCTAGTCGGGGGTTTGACTCTGGTGACCGAGTGCAGCCAGGTGATCAACATTATTTCCAGTTTATGGTTTGATGGTTTCTTTTGAGTTACATTTATCCAGAGAATTTGATGGCATCATGATGAATGGGTCATTCCTTTTGTTTCCTAATGGCCTTTGTAGGAGTCCATCAGGGTGTTGTTGTAAGAAGAGATGCAAGAGCCCCGGTTCAAGCAGTGGAACTCTGTACCGAACAAAAACGCGAGGTATGATTAAGCATTGTTTCTGCTTGAAGGAATTGGTTTGAGTACATCAAGAGAGTTGTTATCCTTGAAGGAAGCATTGTTTCTGCTTCAACTCCTTTATTATCATGCACTTGGCCCCTTTTGCAATTTTTTTTTTCATTTTTCTTCTGTGGTGAACTGATTAAGCAATCAAATGCACAACCATATGGGAGCATTTGCTGAATTTCCCATATTTTATATTGTATATTCTCCAATTTTGAGCTTGAAGAATCTGTTACTTTTGTGGCATTTAAGGCATTTGAGTTTTATGCAATTCTGAGGTTAGGATTCTCCGAAAAAGACAACTATTTGACTAGGTAGATTTTCTCTGTGTTCCTGAAAATAGAGTTCAGGGAAGGATATGGGTAGCCAATGGAAATGAAATTGCTTTTGCATTTTTAACATACACATGAAGTGGTACATAGACGAAGAAAGTTAGACATGACGAGAAATTGAAGACACATCATCCCGTCACAGAACGATCACTCAGATGACTCAGTCGAGTGGTCTGAGAGTTTCGAAGTAAACCACGATTCAAATGAGACTCGTGGTGTCCAAGGTATGTGTATCAATCTCAGTTCAGAAGATGATGATATCTACGTTACTCAGCCCAATGGTATCTATATTGGCTAATACTTTAAACCTTCTTGACATGCCAATGCTTTATATGATATTGAGCTCAGCTATCTTAGTTCAACAAAAAAAAAAAAAAATCCTCAAGTATGGCTATTTGGTCTCTAATTTTTCAATTATGTCTATTTGTTCCCTAAGGCTCTAATTTGTATTTACGTGATCTAATTCTAAACGTTCATTCAAAAAATCGTTAATGTCTCTGTTCACGCGCCAATCGCATAGGACTAAATAAACACAAATTAAGAATTCAAGGGATCAAATAGACACAAATTATGAATTTTGGGGACTAAATAGACACAAAATTAGGAATTACGTGATTGACGCATGACCAAAACAGTCAATGATTTTCTAACGGACGTTTGGATTAGGCTACATAGATATAAATTAAGAACCAAGTAAACACAATTGGAAGTTGAGGATCAAATAGACACTAGACACATTTTGAGGACCAAAAGTATATTTTACCCAAAAAAATACTTGAAAAGGTGAAACCATGAAGTGAATGGGACCAATTGGATGGTTCCTAGTTGTAATCTATCGTACATCAATCTTATATCCACCTCTTGCTCCTACATCAATCTTATTTAGATCCCAAGAGGAGGAGAGGAAGTGGGATTGGTCCATTTTAGAGATTTGGCTGTCCATTAGTGGAAAAATGCAGTACAACTTGCATCAGGCAAAATTAATTCTTGCACTCCTAAATGGAATCGGATTTACCCATTCCAATACTGAAGTCTTCTTTCAATTCTGGATCATTTTATCGTGTGCTGACGAGATGTTTGTTTGAATACAGTGGTATGAGTTGATTCGATCCTATTCATTCTTATCTATCTAACATTGATGGAATTGAGAGAATCTAAAATTGGAGTGGATGGATCCTAATTCAATTTAAAAACCCTTTTCGCAGGATTTCCAACTATTAAATTCATGTTGAGAAGAAAATTTTTGTAATGGTGAAATCTATGTGCAGTTTAACTGCTCCAGATGGAGTTTAGAGGCAAGCCAAGAAGGGAGTGTCTAGGCAATATGAATGTTGAATCAAAACTAAGCAACTTACTGGAGTCTTGAACTAGCTACTGTTTGTAAGGTATAACAAATGAAAACAAGTTCAAGTTTCAGCTTCTTCTGGTTTTATGAATATCTCCCTTGGGGCCTATTAAGATTTCTTCAAATCTTAATAGAGACTTAGACAAGATTTCTTCTGATCTCTCTCTGGATTGTGGTTTTACTTGAGCCCACACTATTTGATTCTGCTTTCTTTACTCGATTTATCTAATGGACCCGTTACATATGGACTTGACTCGTTGATGCAGGGTAGCGTGAATAAAAAAAATGAGATTAAACAATAAAAACTATAATCTATTGATTATCGTAAAAATACCAGATTAAAGTCTTCAAGAGTCTTGTTGATTCCACAGAATATTAAGGCACTTGGGAAGAAAAGAGAACTCGTCTCTAAGTTTTTATTTAAATTAAAAACCAAAACTCCTGAATCAATTTTCAATACCATAAAAATACGAAATCTTAATGGTCCTAACTTATTGGAGAAATCAAGCAAATAAGTAATATTATGAAAATACCCTAAATAGAGGAATAAATAGAAAAGTATCATAAATGTTTTTGGCTTTAATCTTGCTCAGATCGTCGAGAGCTTTTTAGAATAGGGTCTTCTGAAATTTTTTGACGCTATTGCCTAGAATCAGCCTTGATTGGTACCCGATGATATGTCATATAAACTTCTACTATACGTACTACATCACTCATGCATCTATTCTAAGCCACATATTAAGGCTAATAGTGAGACTCAAACTTGAAATATTGAGATAATTGTTAATTTGTGGGATTTAGCCCAACTCTAGATAAACAAAATTTGCGACAAACTAAAAGAATCCAAAATCAAGGGGCCCAAGCCCAAGTACTAAAGGGACATCAGGCTAGACTCATTAAGAGTGTATATGAAACTTAAAATGAATTTCGTACGAGTGAATAAAAAGAGTTGTAGTTTGCTCCCATTATAATCTCTTCCAATTATGTTTGAGTGTATTATATGATACTTTCCCCTTCAAATAGGTATACCTCTTCTATATACATACGAGCAATGCTACATGTAACGTGTAAGTCGATCCTTTATCAAATAATCGGATACTCTACGATTCGGAGAATTCCTATTATTGTTGAATTCTCTTTAACTAATTGACTGTCAAGTGAGGACACAACAAAATGGTTGGTGGCCCCAAACTTCCCATTCTCACCCTTCTTTCCAAAATTTCTGTTTAAAGTGATGATGGTTTGGCATGTGAGTGAGGATAATAGTCTCTTAAGGTACGTTGGAAGGTTGGGCAAGAGATCAAAACAAAACCCAGCAACATCAAGTGGCTCTTAGACTTGAAGTACACTTTTCTTCACTGAATTTTGGTTAAAATCAATAATATGATAAGGGACTTCACTATGGTACTGTCAACCTACTTTTCGGTATTGTACCGAAAAGCATGACGATTAAAGAACGCAACATGTGAACTATTTAAATTTTTTATGTTAAATACAACCGATAAAATCAATTGTTATTTTCCATTATACGTTTTACTTATAAGTCATTTACCCAATTACAACTCAAATAGTAGTATCATCACCCAAATTGTGGTAAATCCACCCAAACACAACATAGTTATATTATCAACACAAATATTAATAAACTAGTTATTACCCAAATCTGAATGTATGGTGTGATAAAAGAAACTCTCAATTATAAACATATTTGTATTTACATCAAAAATTAAATCATAAACATAAATGAGAAAGAAAGAAATTTAAGTATCAGTTTCAATGGGGGTGAGCGATGGTAATGGTGGTGGGCGGTATTGGTGATGGTGGAAAACAATGATGGTTATGGTGGACGACAATCACTGTGGCAGTGGTGGCAGTTATGGGTGACAACAGTGATGGTAGTGGTGAGTTTTGAGTGACGATTATAGTAGTGACAACCATGAGTAACGGTAGTAATGGTGGCGGGTGACAGTTATGATGATTGGCAGTGATAGTGGTGGACGATGACGATGCTAGTGAGTGATAGCGAATGGTGATGGTGGTGGTAGGTGTGGTGAGAGTGGGTGACAATGAATTGTGGCAGTGATGGGCGATGACGGGTGGTGGTGATTAGTAGTAAAAAGTAGGTGTGGTGATGGTGGGTGACAATGAGTAGCGGCGATGGTGGGCGACAACGGGTGGTGGTGGGTTGTGGTAACGGATGGCAGTGGGCAACGATGGTGATGGTGGATTGTGGTAGTGGGTGGCAGTAGGCAACGATGATGATGGTGGGTGACAATGGTGGTGGAATGATGGTGATAGTGATAATAAATATAAAAATAAGATAATGATGGTGATTGATGGTAGCGGTAGACGATGGTAGTAATATTCAGTGGTGGGTGATGACAGTAGTGGTGGTGGAGGTGGCTGCAATGGTGGTGATGGTGTGGGTGGTGGTGGGGGTGGTAGTGGTAATGGTGGTAGGGGTAGCGGTGCTGGTGGTGAGACAGTGATTGTGGTTTGTGGTAGAGGTGGTGGTGGGTTGGTGGCAATGGTCGTGGGAATGTGAGATGGTGGGGTGGCAACAGCGATGATGGTGGCGATGACAACGATGACGGTGGTAGTTGTTGTGGTAGAGGTGGTGGTTAGACGACGATGGTGATAGACGGTGAGCGATGGTAATAGTGGTGGTAACGGTGGTGGAGGGACACTGGCGGCAACGGTGGTGGTGGCAGTGAAGATGGTGGTGGTAGAGGTGGTGGTGAGATGGCGGCGATGGCAGTGGTAGTGATAATAGTGGTAATGGTGGTGGTAGTGGTAATAGTGGTGAGGTAGTTCCAAACACTATTTTTTTTTATAAAAAAAGTGCTTACAAGAAGTTTTAAGTTATAGAAACACTTTTGAAAGTCATTTCAAATACATTCTTAGGGAGCCTATTTTCTCTATGAAAATTGGGGAGTTGATGTTAGTCTGTTGGATTAATTTTAAAATAAAATATAAAATAATTTTAACCGTAAAAAATAAAAATCAATTTATTTATTTTTTAAAATTTGAATTATCTTGTATTTTATTATATAGATTATCTCCAAATATTTGTATCATCACCCAAAACACCTCAAGTGGTGGTAAATTTATCCTAGATAATTATATCACCAACTCAAATGGTGGCAAATTCATCCTAAATAGTTTTATCATCACTTCAAATGGTGTTAATTTTACGACAAATAAAGATAAAATCACCCATAATGTTGGTTATTTCTTGACAAACGATGATAAATTCATACCAAATAAAAGTTGTAAATGACTCACAAACGTTAAAATATGATCTCAAGAGGTGTAAAAAAATTTTATCGTAAACAAATCTAAAAACTTGTATCTCAACCCATAAAACTTATAAAATAAATTTGACGATTTAGTACCGAAATTTTTTGTTCGTAACTGTAGTCTGCTGTGAATATGCTACCTAATGCCAAATAATACCCGTTGGATCTTAATTAGATTTTTTTTGAGTGTACCATTGGCTTGGACGGGTCTGGGTAACCCAAGTTTTTTTTGGAATCTTAGGCATAATTAGAAATATATTATTTTCGAAGATATATTGGGATTAGGA